GACTGCTCCCGTGCAGAGCTGAAAGCCCCTGGGAAGATAGGTTTTTAAGTGCAGCAGCTCCAGCTCCCACCTGATTGCCTGGCCAGTGGGAGCCCCAGGCCCACAGCCTCCTTACACCATTACCCCCTGGTAAGAAGCTACATGCTCCCACTCTGCCCTGCTTGCCTTCTTACTTAAAGCTCTCTGGCTGCCAGCGTGGAAATGCGCCTGCCTTGCTCCACCTTTCTCCCCATTGCCTTGCTGTCTGTGAGGACTGGTAAGAAAACATTTCAGCTGCTCTTACACTTCCACAGCACCCATTTCCTGAGGCCATTACAGGAACAAAATGCTGTCTCCCATCTCCTGCTGATTATAGCTTTATCAGATAATAGCAAGAAGAACTCATCCTGTGAAGCTGTTACCAATACCCAAAGGTACCTGAATGGCAGTGACAGAGATGGTGCTTGTTGCATTCACCCACCGACAGGCAAAGCTGGAACAGCAGCAGGGCACCGCAGCCCATCTACTGAACAGCCTATCATTACTTAACCTGCTATGAGCAGTTTTTGGCTTTTCTGATTTTCAATGTGTGTGTTCGGCTGGTTTTTATTTCACATTCAAACCCGCTGAAATTACAAGGAGAAGGAGCCTCTTGGTCCCTGGGAGCGTGTTTTCTCAGTGCTGGCTTGACACACAAAATCTGTTTCCTCAATGATGCCTTCCCTCTTACCTCTTTTAGACAGGATGGTGTGAAAACACAATAAAAGCTCTCGAAAATAAATGCAAGGAAGCTGAGAAAGCTGTTCTTCAGATGATACACAGAGTCCTTGGCTCACACGGCTTGAATGCCACAGAGCTCTCCCCTGCCCACCAGCTCCTTGCCTGCAGGAACCCGACCTGCTCAAAACAAATACACACCACTCTAGGGAATTCCAGCTACAAGACCTACTTTGCAGGGTAGCACCCTGCATCCAAGGTGCCGTTGTACAAACACACGCAGAGTCCCAACTCCACGTGACACATCTGCTATGCAGGGCTCAAAACATGTCTTCAAGCAACAGCAGTATAACTACGAGACTTCATTTAGCTCACAGGCCCTACCAAGCCGGGGTGAAGCTTTGCAGATAAAAAGACCTGAAGTTCCCCACCTTCACACAGCAAAAATCTCTGCCTGTTAAGTGATTTGCCAGGGTAATGGGTATTATCTGTACAGGAAAGCAGATCACTAAAAAAACCGTCCAGACTAAATCAGCACAGCAAAGTTACAGCTTGTTCTACTACCACAACAGAAACCCTGTGTTCAATTTCATAAACATCAAGCAATGAAAAACACAGCTAAAAAGCTGGTGTAGATATCTACAGAAAAGCCCTCATTTTAGGTGTGAGGCTATTTTTGTACTTAAAAGGCGTGAAATACCCCTTTTTCCTGGTGGTAAGAAATGCCCCTTGATACCCTCTTTCCTCCAGGACATAACCCAAGTAGAAATAATTTTCAAAACTAATAAGTATACGGGGTAACATGGTTAACATCATCCAATGAATTTAGATCCACCTACACGGTATAAATATATCTAGATAAACTGTCACCTTCAGCAGAATTCATTAAAATAATGTTGTATCTTCCTTGTTAAATGTAATTTTTTTAATTGAAATTTAATCTTACTGTATTATTTGGTAGATTTTTAATTGACATTTGTAGTAATTAATTGGTAAGCATTACAGCTTTGTCTGAAGAATTTAAAACTAAATTTGACATAGAGATTGGCCAGCCACTGCTGTGAGGTGCCTGCTGGGAGCATTTCATCATCCCCCCAGCCCCTCCTGCTGATCAGAGGTGGGAGATGATGGTCTCTTTCTTAGAGTCATGAATTACATTACTAATGTATTCCATTACCACCACGCAAATGTCATGTTAATTTCTGATCATCATCAAGTCAGACAATGGTTTCCACGCTGGCACCCAGCCAATTAGCTGTGTGGAAAAATATTCAGCCAATTATATAACTTGAATTAGGTTAAGGACTCAAGAGAAAGCAAAATAAACGCTTTGAAAATACTTCTGAGATAAAATGTAAGTTGACACTGTCTTCATGTGCTATAGCCGATGTTATACAATCTGATAGGCAGCTGCCAACATTCATAACTGTTTATTAAATCTAGCCTCTCTTTACGGTGGCAGCTAAGATCTGTATTTTTACCAATATTAGGTTCATTGTGTTATGAAAAAAAGACCAAAATACTTAGGAGCATTCACACCAGCTTATAAAACATATTATGTAGTTTATTAAATTGTTAAAATTGCTTCTCCCCTCCTCCTCTGCCCAGCATAAAGTTCCAGACAGAAAAGTTTCAGAACAGCAAAGTCCTTCTGGAGCCACAGATGTCTCAGCAGAGGCACTGGGAGGACAGAAGCGCGGAGGCACCGCCGTTCCCCAGCTGAGCCCTCTGCTTCCTGCCCAGCGCCCCGCACAGCAGGGCAGGGCCCGGCAGGAAGGCTGGGCAGCTCCCAGCATGCAGACACGCGGGTCTGTGGTGCACGCAGTGCTGCACGATGGGGTTTTCAGTACCACCCCATCACCTCGATTTGTTCCGTTCTTATGTCAATTTATTGTACAAGCATGGTTATCTCCAATTTAGAAATGTACACAGCACCAATTCCTTGACCTTAAAAATTCGTAACGATGAGCCATTTGTTAAAACCTTTCACCGTATCTTTCTGTTTCATTTTCCTAGGTGTTGCAATGAGGCAATTCACTGTTCTGGCTGCTTACCCTAGATGACCTTTGTCTGCCATAAAATGGTATACAACTAGATGCTCCGCTTCAAATAAAGCTCTCATCTCTTCGAAAGGCTCCACGTATTCAGCCAACACAATCAGAAGAAACCACATTTGGTTACTCAATAAGCTGGAAACTTCTGCAACAAGCAAGGCCATGAATGAATTCCTGACATCATCAGGGACACTCGAGTGGGGAACGAGCGAGAATACCAAGAAGTGGCTCTTGCTGCAGATGGAGAAAGGATCACTCCTTTAAGCTGAACTCTCAAGGAAACGAGAACAAAAAGTGAATTAGCTCAACACGTACCCTCTACAGTCAGTCCATTGCTAGGCAACTTCCATCTCCTGATAGAATTATGGACAGAGGGCTGGCCATATATCAGGGTTAAGATGAACATAAGCACCAGTGTTGGCCAACTGCTCCTTTCCAGTGGGACTGTTCAACGCTTGTTCATTTCATATTATTATTTGGCAATATTTTCTAAGCACCTAGAGAGTCTAATGCATTCAGAAGATATTTTAAAGCTATTATGTGACATGAAAATTTTAAGATAACTGGAAGTAAGTGAATTTTATGGTGAATAGCATGAATCTTTTCCTTTGTTCAAGTCAGCGTTTGGAGGGAGTTAACAATCCTTCTTTTTGCTTTTATTTTTTAATACAGGAGCTATCCAGAGGGCACACGGCTCAAATGCCTTGTCTTTACATAGGATGCCAGTTGGCCACAGCTCCATATCTCCATAATTCAACCCGTGGGGTTAAGGGGATGCTTCAAGACACCCTGGTCCTTCTGTTTGCTACCACTGAGACCAGACACCAAGTTCTATTACAAGCAGTGCCATGGGGCTATCACAATACCATGTTTTCAGCCTCTAATGGTGACTTGAGAGATTTGGACTCCAGATATTATTTACCGTGATTGGAAATGCATCAAGTATATGCACAGGCTGCCTTAAATAACGGCACGTGCCTTGTATGTAACCCCAAGTTTCCTATGCATACTTCATAGGAATAAAGAAATAATTAATTAGCTAACCACCACAATTAAAATCAATTGATTCACATGCTACAGAGCAGTGAGAAATTCTTGCACCACTGGATAAGACTGGAATTGCTCCCTGCTTGGGGACCTTGGTTGTATCAGCAAGATTGGTAATTCAGACATGAAGGAATTGGTAAGAATCTTTCTCTTGCATGCATGCTTTGAGCTGCCATATGGGTTTATTCAACTGTTTACTACACCAGTCGGTAAAATCTGAACAGCTATTATAATCTTTGCTAAATGACATGGTAATTATGCTACCTCTGGAAAAAAAAAAAAAAGAAAGAAAGAAAGAAAGAAAAAAAAAATGGAAACTTAAAAAAATCACAATTCACTGATGTGTGAATTTCTCTTTCTGTAATCTCTGAAATGTAATGCACTTCCTAACACACAGAGGGATATTAAAACTATAACAGAAACACAAATTTATTTGAAGAAAAGAAAAAACAAAACAATTTATGCTCCCATTTTCTATGGATTTAATTACCTAGATCTCCTAGTTTGTAACAAATTCTCACACAGATCTTGCAATTCTCTTGCATGATCACATTTCTCTTTCCCCACTCTCTTTGTCTTGTCCAAGTTGGCTGTTGGGGGATTTCTCCCTTTGTCCCCCCATGACGAAGGCAGCCAAGCTTTGCAGCACACGCCATGCTGAGCAGGGCTGGCTCTGCTGTGTACCAGTGACACCATTTTGTCACTGGGATGTAAGTGCAGCAAACAGTGGAGCTAATTACTTGTTGGCAATGGCTCCTCTGAGAGCAAAGCCTCTGACACATGATGGAGTGGAGGCCTCTCCATATTCATATTTAATCATTACATGAATTGCACACACAAGCATGTTTAGACCCTGTCTGTCTGTATGGCTCCAGCTCTGGGCAGCGGTTTTGCATCGCTGAAATCCAGTTACACCACTGAACCCTCAGAGCTCACAACTTCACCGCGGCCTTGAGGGGATGGTGGGAAGAAAGCAAGCCAGGCAGCCTACTTTCTTATTGATAGTATTTGGTATCATGGATATTTCAATACAATTAACGTGTTTATTCGGGAGGTACAAAATAGCGGAGACTTGTTTTGAAGACAGACAGTGCAAAAAAGGAACCCCAAATCCCCACCATATTTAAAAGAAAAAAGGGGTGAGGGAGAGAGAGAGTGTAAGAAAGAGTGAGAGTTACTCCGAACTTGGGATTGGTGACTCACCAGTTTTACTTGCAGGCATCACACATATCCACTCATGACTCAGGGCAAATATGGGAAAGGATCGAAACCCTTATCATGGCAAATGTCTGGAAGCTGGAATCACTCAGAAAAAAATGTTCTCAGGAGACTGAAAGACAAAAACATGTTTTAAAACTTCACTTAGTTAGAATCATATCAAAGCCCACCGTTTTCCTTTGAAAATAAAAGGAAGTTACAAGTGCTGAAGGTGTGGGGAGCATTACAGGAACATTTCTACACATCAAACATCGCTCTATCACACAGCAGAATTTATTTTGCTTTAAATGAAACTGAAATTTACAGTATTAAGAAAGGTTTTAAAATATGCTCTTATTTCAGATTTTGCAATTTGCTCCTCCGACAGGCGAGTTTTTGTTCATTCTAAACACCAAAACGTGTCAGCTGCCAAACCCGTATTCTGCTCAAAAATGGTGCCCTGTTTCACAAAATTCAGACACTTTAACCTACTTTGCATTATCCAAGTGCAACAGCCTGAGTTTCTGAAATATTTACTCTCAGCCTGCACTCACTGCATCCTGATAAAACCTTAACAAAATGTTGAATCTCTTGTTAGCAATAATCTTCCCTCTGAGATAAGGATAAACACATACAAAAACTATTTGATGTTCAGGGTGAAAAGGCAAAATTTGCAAACATCAGTTAAGAAATACCAATTAGTATGTTTTTTCCCCAGCTATTAGTAACACAGATTGAGTTTAAGCCTAGCTCAGAGGAAGCTGCTTGCGGTACAAATTAAACACCCATTTCACTAACAAGGGTTTTAAAAGAGAGGTATATTTTCTCCATCGACAAAACATCCACGCTGAGTACGAGCTGATATTGAGAAACAGGAGCAGAGGGCCTGAGGCACACGAGCACTGCACCCATGGAATCAGGTGGGATTTAAGCAGCAGCTCCAGTGCCTGCTGCCCTGATGGATGCACGGGCACATGGGACAGCCTCTGTGCTATAACCTCCAGAGGAGGAAACAAGCTTTGCAACGGAAGAAGGGTCCTGAAGGACTGGGGTAGGAAAAAATATGAAGGCTGAAATCCCAAGGGCTGCTTTTGCCTTCCATTCCCTGGTGCTGTCCCTGCAGACGATCCCCAGCAGAGTGGCCGCTCTCAGCTCTCCACGTGAACCAGCACTTAGGCAGCGCCAAGGACCCAACCTGTGGCAGACAACCACCACAGCAGCCTTCCTCAGGAACATCTGCAAGTGACTGTCTCAGCAACAGCCGCACCGAATTTCAGAAGGGAAAAAGGTGGAGGTTTTTTTGTGTTAGGTTTGTGGTTGTTTTTTTCCCTTTTTTTAAATATGCTTCTCTGGCCTCGGGGCTTTTCCCATTCTTAGCTGAATGCAATACAATGGCTCAAAGATGATCACAACAGTTCAGAAACCTAAATATAGGGATTACGCGACCCTATTATAAAACTGCTGCACAACAAAAATAGATCCAAGAGGGCCTTTCAAACACCAGATCTGCTAAACGCTACTTCTTCCTCAGAGGCTCGGAAATACCTGCAAACCAGAGTGACCTGCATCCTGCATCAGCCTTACTTTATTCATGAGGAGCTAACACTTCAGAGGAGCAACCAAACAGTGCCAGAACACACATCCGAGGCTGGGTTTGTTACTGCAGATGAGCACAGGGCAGAGCACAGCTGCACCTACACACACAGCCTGTGCCCATCACAGCTGCTGAGCAGCCTGTACCATCACACATCTGGAGGTGTGCAAGGGAAGGAGCCCAGCGAGGCCTGTGGGCACGGAGGCTGCTGTGGCTCCTCCATGGAGCACGGCCCGGAGAGCCGGGACACGGCATGCTGCCCGCGGGGAGAGGAACGCCAGGGAGATGGGTTCTGATAAACTGAAGCCTTTAATGATCTGCCCACGCAGTCAAGTTCGATCTGGCATTGACAAATTGAGGCTTTTAATGATGTGCCCACACATTTGAATTGGATGCTCCTCTCCTGCACGTTTCACAAAAATAGCCTGCTGGGTTACAGACTGCAGCTCTAATCAACCTGCAGAGATGAGCAAAGCCAAACTGCTCTTGGACCAACTTCTCCCACAGAAGATTCTCTGATAAGTCCTCAAATACAGATTTTCCCCTGCACTACCATATACTTTCTCTGAGGGCTACAGCTAAGTAAGGGCTGATGAGACACAGCAGCTTCAGCGTAGCTGGAGTACAAAGTCAATCAAACCTTGAAACATGAACCTGCGTTTCATTAATCCCAGCAATCACATCGTTTTTATTATCACTGTATTAATCAGAATAGGAAACCTATTAGTCTGCCCCTAACAAAAATTAATCTTCTCAATATTGAACAGATTGAAAGACAAGTTTTAATATCTCACTACTTAAATCTCCACAGCAAAGGCACACGGGTCTGATGGCCTGGAGAACCACTACGACCGCATCCCACCAGCACGAGGCTGGTCCTCTCCCAGCAGGACCAAGCTGGTGGGGAACACCACACAACCAAGGCGGTGGGAACACAAACACGTGGCTGGGAGCCTGAGAAGCGGCGTGCTGATGGAACAGACTCACAGATACACACACCTTGGGGCTCTGCTCTGCAGGATACATTTCAAAGCCCCATCAAAGGTAGAACTTCAATGCACCACTCACATTTGGATGTTTATTGACTGCAATGAAACTATAAATATTGTTTTCACTAACGATTTCTTAAAGCCATGTTGCACAAAAGAAAACAGGTTCAACTCGTACATCAGCGCCTAAGAGACCGCTCCAAAACAGACAACTGTACGAAAAGTTGTGCCCATGTATACATATACACAAAACTGTTTTTAAGTGACTGTTTTGAATTAGAATAAATCTGTGTTCCACCAATTAAGCTTTGAATGCACGGCTGATACCATTCTCTATCTGAAACAAGCAACACAATAAATGCAAAAAATCAAATATTTTAGAGAAAATACTTGGAGAGTTGAGACATTAATTTTGCCATATACAATCTGTTCCACAGGGATTTAAACAAGCGTTATTGCCACCCTGGGTACATTGGAATAGAGACGAAACCACCATCCTTTCCTATTTACATATTAAAAAATACATGCCTTCTTGATACAGACTACAATACAGCCTGTCTAGAGAATGCAAAGCCATGAACTCAGTGCATCCTTGCGAGCAGTGCTGCACTCCAACTGGTTGCAAGTGGAGATAAAACACAAGTGCAGACAAAATGCTCGCTTGCTCGTCCTTGGAGTCCTGCAAGCACCCAGGGAGAGGGGCTGGAGCAGCCACAGCTCCCCAGGGCCCCACCTCGGGATGGGGCTGTTTACCAAACACCGTCACCACAGCAAAAGGGGAGCAGGGAGAGCAGCCTGCAGAGCTGTGCACCTCAGGGCGTGGGCATCAGGGGATGAGAAACAAAGAAATATTTAGAACAGCAAACAAGCAATCACAAACAGCAACAAAAACAAACAGCTCAACCCAAACAAACAAACAAACTATACATATGTGTATACACATACACATATATATAGGTATATTTATCATCCCTGTTCTTATTTCAATCTCACGTGCATTTGATTTTAGTTTGAGAAGCTCTGCAATTTCCTAGAATTTTCAACACGGATGTATCTCCAACATAACTTTAAAAAAAGAAAAAAAACAAAAAAAAACAAAAAAAACACCAAGCCAAAATTAATTGCCATCAGAAACACATGCCAAAAGCATCCTTAATAGGACCACAAAGGCTGCCTACAGGAGGAACTCGCTGCGAGGAAAGGTAACATTTGTTCTCCCTTTCAGCTGGGATCCACCTCAACTTTTTGATGTCGGCAGGAGCTTTTATTTGCAAATAGAGCAGAGCTGCTTGGGATGGAGGGCTCCTCCAGAGCATGCCATGTGGCCTGCACAGATGTTCCTTTTATTCCCGTGTCCCACAAGGCTCCGTGGCTCGCTGGTGTTAAACAGATTACGCAAGTAGAACACTTGATTTTGCATGTCCCCTTTTTTCCAACAGTTGTCTAATTTACTCAACTCATTCTGCTCCCCCTTCCCTCCACACACGCTAAGGCAAGCACAAAAAAAAAGGAGGCAGAAGCAAGAAAGTTTCTCCTCCACAATCAGAATTTGCAGAAACGCTCAGCGCCTGCAAACAAAGTAGGAACGCAAAAGAACAAAGCTCTTATTTCGACAGTAAAATAACGAGCTTTGGCGCCAGGATCTTCCAAAAAGCCTTCACCATAGCCCAGTAACACCAGTCGCTACAAGTATCATAATCTCTCACCCTTATTTAGGTGCCCAAATGAGAATTGAACTTTTTCCAAAAAATACCTAACACCAATTATTGGTGCTAAGCATTGAAAATCCTTGAAAATCTGGCCTTCAACTCCGGCACAAAGAAGGGGCTTAATTTCCCGGCTGTCAGGCATCCCAATCAACAACTGAAGTCAATGGGATCTACACAGTACCTTATTAAAAAAAAAAAAAAAAAAAAAGCCTAAGAGGCCCATTAAGCAACAGCAGCTCCAGCAAGGCAACCTCACTGCGCAGAGACAGCAGCTACACGCGGCTTTGTGCATCAGCCACTTCGCTCTCACACTTAATTTGATTAATCATTTTGGTATTATCCCCAATTAGAAAAGTGTCTAAGTGGAAAAATAATCAAAAAAAACTGCTTAAGATTAAGACAAAGAAGAAAGCAGCAGCTACTGAATGTGCAACTACTTAGGATTTCTGGCATTTGCGAAGGATACAAAATTAAAGCAAAAAAACTGCGGGCAAAACGCAAAGACATCAGTGTTTCATACAGACTGCAGATTTTGAAATTTTTTTAATAAACTCAAACTGAATTCCAGATGTTGAAAGTTGGGAAGTAAAAAGAGCCTTAGCTGTAAAAACACAGAAAGGTGAGACCAAAAATTCTGCTGAAACCTAACGATTCAAACACCCTGGAGTGAGGCACTCGCACCCTCTCCCAGTGCTTCCCCCCTCACCCATGCCAGAGCAGGTAGCAGCACAGGGGCTGCACAAGCTCCCTTCACAAGGCACAGGCTGGAGCAAGCTGCTGGGAACTGCACAGGGAGGAATGCAAGTCCCAGCACCACTGACCATAGGGCAGCCGTGAGCGG